ACGTAGTTACAAAATCTAGAAAGTCCAACATACAACCTCCATGCATTCCATTGGTGGCAATTTCTTTCTCCATCCCAATTCCCACGTGCAGCATTTGATCCTGTATATGCTGCGCTCATCACAGGGGAGGCAGAACACAAACAGCAAAAGTACAAATGTAGTCGAAACAACCCGAGGCTACCATGCGCACCTCAATTTACAGGGAGTGTAAAAGGAAGAAATGCAGGAAATAGAGGTGAAGTGTTCATAATGCAACGTTGAAACAAAAGTGGTTGCTTGTTGTGGTGGAGAAAACCCACCATTAAGTGATGTCTTGTTTAGCAAAATAGTAACGTGCATCACATGCCCCTTTCGCCAAACAATAATCGCCACTTCCACACAGCCACACAACAATGCCCAATCCACGTTGATACAAAACCACAAGATGTATTGACAACACCATGTCCGCAAGGCTGCTAACGATGATATATGTTTGAAAGAAACAGGACCCGTCTATCTCAAGCAAATATGCATAAAGCACAAATGAATTTCCCACTTTGGCAACGTCTTCACATCCTACATAATCAAGCATGAGGTGCCGCACCTACACGATCAATGGAGAGGACTGTTCCTCTCAAATCGAGAGTAAGTTGGTCATTTGCATTGCTTTGGGAAATAGCTCGGTTGTAGGAGCGTTTGAACGGTGCCGGCAACACCAATACGCAGTGACTTTATAAATGGCAAGCCAAATTGTCTTTTTCCACATTGCAAGTCCAAAAACTGGTTTGTTGTTTCAGATGAAGACTGAAACTGCACTGAGGCAAATATGATTTGTTACACTGTGATCCAATGACCTCAAAATGACGTCAAGATGGCAAGTGTTGATTGGGCAGCAACGCCTTACACAACCAAGGCCTCCCAAACACCCACCGAAAGGCGATCAGACTGAACTAAAGTAAGCGCCTTCAAGAATGTTGAGGGGGAAATAGAACAGGAAGTATGTCACGTCGTCATCACAGCTAACAGGCAGTCCATGGGGGAAAATTAGCTAAAATTGTAGGCAAAAGATGCGCGAACCAGGAAAAGGGAAATCGGTTTCTATGTGCCTGGCCAGCAGACTCACCATTGTGATGGCGCTTTCGCCTCTGCGATCACGCTTTCGTATTCGTTCGGCACAGATCTCAGGAGAGCATCGCAGATAGACTGTGAGTGCGAAGAGAGACATTGTTGCACAGAGGATGTGGGTAAAGGAAGGCACTTCGACAACTAGCAGAAAATGACGCACCGATGAGATCGAGCTGAAAGATGGGCAAACTCCTGCTCCACTCATAGAATTCATCAAATATCTCCACGTCCTCATTGGATAATTGATGACTACAACAGGAAAAATAACACCCTGTTTAGAGTGTACTGGAAAGTGGTTGTATAAATCGGGCGCAAAAATAGCACAAACGAATTTGTCCACAGCCTCAAAGGTAATGAGGAATGATCACAAACCCAGCATAGGAGTAAGAGAAGCTAGTGGGAATCACTTGGCACCACTTACTTCCTAATCATCGCCTCAATGAAGCAACGTCTGCCACAGTTGATGGAGCGCTCAAATAATCGCACAGGAGCGGTCTGAGGCACAAAATACCAAGTGCAATGTGATGAACACAAGAAGAAAATAAACGGGAGATATCTTACTTGTGTTTCAGCCTGTCGTTTGAATGCTGTAACCATGACTTGGCTTTGAAGAGGCGCACTCCACCTCTCTGGATTCGCATAATATGCCTCCTGTGGTTGGCGTAAGAAGTAAACTTCAATGAACTCACGAATAATTTGAATCCTTTCACGTCATTCCACAGCTCAATGATTTCAGGCGAAACTTGGATATTGGGTGAGAGCTCCTTGAAATAATTGAGGAATGTGGACTTTCCACAACCAATGTTTCCCTCCACAGCAACTCTAAATGTCCTAGAACAAAGGGTGGTAGAGCTTGCGTCATGTGCGAGCCTGCTCATCTCCATCACTTTGTGACGATGAAAAGCGCAATGTCAAAGTGAGCGGGGCACGCCGTGCAGTACATATTGTCGATGCTCAAGGTCGAGGCAAATCAGCATAGCATTGTAAAACACTGTGGTCCAAATTTGTATTTAGAACAACTAGTCCAAATCTACGCGCAATGCAGCATAGAAGAGAATTGGTTATGTATGATTACAAAGCGAATAGCTACTAACTGAAAGCATCATTAAATTTTGTCATATCAACTTATGAACCAGTCACAATTTTCGTTTCTCATATCACGTCTTGCATTAACGCCCCCCAATGTCGTGATAAACCGACCCTCTGAGGCTTAAGTGGTTCTGCATTGGGCACAAAATTTGGGTCCAATGAGATGCGGAGATCTACTGGGAAACGAGATTAGTATCCACGTAGAGTGAATAAGGCGTTGGCGCCATCACATGTCTCGACAAAATTTGCACCATGTTTGATGAAAAAGCGCAGTAGAATAACAGCACGTTTAGTGCATTGGCCCTCAGGATTGCATCCATTTTCATGTGGTGCCTCGAAAGTAAATAATATTTAAGCTAAATATATATTTCTGCCTACGGGACAGGACATCTGGCAGAGATGCTATGGCAAGGCTTTAACGGATCATTACCATATTTCTCTTTTCCATTTGACCGCTGTCGGTGCTTTCCTTGGTCAAATTGTCTCTTCAGCTATCAGAACGAAATCGCTGCTGTCAGAAATACACTCATATACCAGCGTGGCCACTCGTCCAATTTACATGAGGCTGAAGAGGTGCCATCTGACTACAAAGTCGCCTATTCTTCTCAATATTCCTACTAAATCCGAGTTCCTTTCAGTTCGGGAACACTACTGAGGTAAGTGGGTATATGCATGACCCTTTATGCAAGGTCCATCGCTGATTCTCATCATTCCACCTTGCGTCACATCCAGATTTATCATTAAGTAAGAAAAACCAAGTTATTTGTCCCTTAGAATGCGGCTCGTACTTCGATGCCTCTAATTTAGCTTTAGGAAATTTGTTCTAACAATGAAAGAAGATAAGACGGTAAGGCAGAATATGAACTGCCAACGTGGAGTAAGGCGTGGGGCTACTGGGAAGAGCAATGTCAGAGCCCCAGTGATCCGTTACGGAAAGTGGGATTTGAACAAATAATGCAAGTATTACAAGTTATTGCTTTTGTTAGCAGTAAACGCGTTGATGTCAATTCGATCAATAAAGCCATGAAATGTCGCTCGGCTATACAGCCACCTTACTTGATGCTTATCCCCAACACCAACTTTGGCAAGTCTCCCTCTACATTCACCATGGCATAAGCGGAAGTCCAGGAAAACATGCATGATTCATAGTCGAAGAGAACTGATTGGTAAATCGTTGGTGCGTTGTGGTCTTTGTTTCCAACGTTGGTGACAAACCTGCCTGAATTCAGGTGAAACAGAGCTGCTTTAGATTTGCGTCCGAATTGCGGAACACGGCCGATTATGCACTGTTTAATGCAGGTCGTTGTCCTACAAAGGCATTTCTAGGGGGTCAATCGAAATTCGTTGAAGCAGTTCTCCAAACACAGAAACATGCACGAAGTAGCCTTACAGAAATGTTGAACATAACATCGACATCTCATGGCAACTCGACTTGCACGCAGGCACCACCGATGTTGCTGTCTACATCGACTCACAATATGCACGTCCATCGGTGTTGATAAAATGCACTCAGTACCCACCGCAACATCCAGCTCCGCCAGGGTTGAACTCATTTCCTGCTTAAATTCAGCATCTTGCCAACGGCTAAGGAACCGCTGCCTTGACAAATTGCACTTCCAACATCTTCTGTTGTGGTTAAATTAACGACTCTACAGAGCCCAATGAAGCAAATTGATGAAGAGGAAAAGCGTTGTCAAGGCTCCCCTCGTGTCAACCTGAACAAGGCTTCTCAATTGCACTCCAACTACCCAGGCACCTCAGTCGGTTTTGTTCACGTAGTCGCTGTCGGCAGCACACCGATTACTCTGAGCATTGAGAAGTCATTATTTAGATAGTCACTGAGCCTCTGCATTGAACTACAAGTCGTAATCTCATCAGCTGACCGTTATCTGCCTTCCCCATCCCGATGGCAGTAATAAGTAAAAGAGGTGCACATGTTGAATCACGATGAGAATCAGCATGAAGTGCATTACATGGAGAGAGGGCGAATAGAAACGTGAATGAGGGTAGGATGAAGACGTGGGAGGGGAAGAAATAGTCTCACCAGTTCAAACAGGGACACCGCAGAGAACCTGATCTCGACGCTGGAAGTAGACATCTGTCAGAACCTCCAACGGCTCATCGCAGTCAAATACCTGTCAAGAAATGAGATGACGACAGAGGAGTGCTGTACACATTGTCTATCGTCTAGAGTAGTATCAATGCATCTTTGTATTTTTGATAAGGAAAATACATCAACCCTAGACTATTGCAGCATTAAATAATGCATTTCCAATTAAGTAACATTGGCCTTTTTAATCATTTCTCTCTGTCGATCGACTCCACAACAGAAGCATGGAGATCCGACCATGCTAACATTCTCTCAGTTCTTCCAAGTGCAGAAAACAGGGCTATCTTCTTTTTTGTATTCCCTAGGATGCATTCAGGAGTAAGCTGGGTGACTTAGTGGCAAATATTCTCAACAAATTTCAAAGGCCACCTCAATTATGTCCCAAATTAGGCTAACTTCAATGTAAATCCTGAAGTAAGTATTGAAGCAATGCTGTTGCCATGAGTGATTGAATTTGCGAAGATTTACCACGAAAATGCCACGGAAACAGCAGTACAAGGACGAGTGTCAAAAGATCAACGCAGACTATCTTATACGTCTTGCAGGTGACAACAACAAGTTGAGCGGCATTGAAGGGAGCAGCACACAGATTGATGGACAAACTGTCTGCACCACAGCATGCGTAAATAAAATCAGGTCACGAAGTCCCGACTTTTGAGATGTAGGTACGGACATACAAGTCCCACTTATATGGTCCCTTTCCTTACCACCGCTAACCAACTTGCAACTAAGTTGCCAAGGTCACGGGGGTAGAACCCGATCAACAAGGCATGATATTGCCATTTGTGGAGGACTGGACAGTCGACGTCAGTTGACTCATTAAAACGGAATGGAACAAGCACAAAAACGTCAAATCAAGTAATTATAAAATAAGCAACGACAAAGAGGCAGAATTGAATATTAGTGCACCATAAGACAGCTAAAATTACAATAATATTTTAAAATGGCTTATTAGACTCATTTTTTTCCTGTAGTCATGGCAACGTACCATTACGGGAGCCCCGACACAATCCCTTTTCGTGCCCAAAAGCCAGTCTTCATGTAGGTCGTGCAGCTGATTCAGGTAGTCCTGCAAGGAAATTATCAGCAAGGCGCAGTTACACCTTCCACGCATTCGATGGTAGTCAAGGCATTCAGTTTAATGAGGACAGAAATTCGCCCATATATTTCCTGGACTCTGATTCCAACAAAACAAATTTGGTCACATAAACAATGCCTCCATGACGGAGGAGGTCAAAATAATGGGCAGCAAATGCGACTGTAATCTAAACGAGTCAAGGCTACCGTGTCACCTGAGTTCACCACAAACGAAAACAACAGTGATGCAAGCAAAAACAAATCGGTAAATTATTGGTGATCGGGCGTTAAAAACAGAAATATTTGTTGCTTTATTCGCTTCTGTAAGGCTGCATATCAATGCCGATTAATAAAGCATTCTTGCGGTGTTGCTAGCCCTCAGAGGGGAAGCTTGACCATGGCAACAAAAAATGAACAATTATCGACCTGCGGTGATTCAAAAGTACAAGAAATATAGGTAATACCGTGTGCATAAGACTAATGATGGAGATATATTTCCAAATGCAAAGACGATTCATCAATTTGAAGACAACATGGATGAAAGGAATTAATTTTCAAATAACATTTGGCGAGATCTTCAATTCATACATGACTAGGTACATATGCTGCATATAAATGAGTAATTTTTCCATAAAATCGAGGGCAAATTCATCGCTTACGCTGCTTTGTAAACGTAGAAACGGTGCAAGCAGA